GCAAATGTGATGAAACGAATTTTTTTAAACCTTCAAGCTGCAACTTCAGTACCGTTAAACTGGAATGTTAGTATCATATTTTAAATATGTATATATGAATAAAAATATAAAAAAATATTAGCGCAATATTGAATTAGTATCGATGGTTTTGAAGCTATTATGCGAAAAAGAGCGGCGTCCCCGATGCGCAGAATCAGAGGTGGCGATAATTCTACCTTCTGCACTGACACTGGACCCGAATGCATATTAATATACTTGTATACGAGAAAAAAATATATATTTATACTAACTAAAAATGTATACTTTATACTAACCCTATTTTAAGTGTGCTGTTACTAACCTTTACGAATGAGTGTCCGTATTATTTTTATTTATTTGATTTGATTTTAATGAAAAAGAAAATAATTTTATGTAGTTATTCAAAGCAACAAACTTTGTGTTGCGTCACGAACTTGTTTCATAAACTGTTGTATCATTATAAAAAATATATTACCAAAGTTGAAATTGTTTACTTTACTTTTACAATATCAACTTTCACGACCTTCAACCGGTACACTAGCGAAATATTTTTACATACTATATAACTATTTAAATTCATGTACATTATAACGATTTCTTTTCTTAGCACATATGATACGCAAACACTATTTCGAACAAGACAAACAACAACAGTGTAAACTAGACCTAAGACAAATCAATCAAACATCATTTAGAGCACACAAAAGATTATTATGCGTCAATTGACCTCTTAGGATAATGGCCAATAGACAGCCCATAAATGGAACAAAAACGCGGATGCATCGCAGAAAGATCTAATGGGAATCATGAGTAGTTTGTTCCGTTGTTGGTATCAGTGTGGTGTGACGGGACGAGCAAGTCATACACCTGGTGGTAAGCGGCACTTCTGTCCATAGCAGCATAGCAGTTGCAGTGCCAATCAGACCTTTAGATAGAAAAAGATCTGAGGGACACTGCCACTGCGCCCGTTACCCTGAGATATAAATTGAAAAGTGCTATGTGCCTGTAATTACAGCATTCTCCTTACCTTCAATACTGGAACTCAATAAAGCTCATGCTCACATTACTGTTTGACGGCAGAAATAGGTAAAGTGTACTTCCTTGGATGAACTCTTTCACAAGGAGCTCTACTGTCATTAAATCTACTCATTTTTTTTTATTTTCATTTTTATTTAGAATTTGGGAGTGTAAGAATAGTCGTCTAATTTTAATAGCTAGTTTGTTCGTAACTTTTAGTCAAAGTTATCGCCAGAACTATATCGATAATGGTGTACCGAGTACCACGCTGTAGTTGTTTGCAGCTTTCGTAAATCATTACGTACCAAAATAGTTATCATGCTTTAATAATCTGTGAAACTATTTCTTCGAATAATTAATTTGTGAAATAATTTCTTTAATTGAGTTCGTCTTTGAAGGTATTCTGTAACATGGGGGTATATTTAAAGTATTCACTGAGCCAAATTATAGTACACAGTTGTTACATTCCTTTGTTGAACATAAATATGTGAAGTACATCTCTTACTTCTATAAACGGAAATATCACGTTTAGTCTATTAGTCCAGTTGAAATTGAAAAAAATGTTTAAAGAGTCAGGTACTGACAACTTTTTTGCTGATTGCATACGATTGATTCGCCAAGTTAGTAAGTTGACAGGATCGCGAATATTAAAAACACGTATCTTTATAGATAACGTCGCTAGTTATATGAAAGTTTTAAGATTTTGCCATTATGGTCAGAAAATTGTTTTTTGAATCAAAACAACTTTATAAAACGGTCGCTAAACCATATCACGCTGTTAATTTTTTCAATCGTTGTGAGTG